TTCTGGTAAAATTTGCTATGTCTTTGTAGGCACTGCAAATTCTGCCACATTCTTTGAAGCACACACTTCTAACTAGCCTTCCAGCAAATGACCGCATTCCTGCTTTCCTCTTGTTTCATAAACAAGACGGCAGAAATATAAACAGTAGACACACAGTAGCATATTCAGCAATTTTTCAGGCTTTGTGGTTACCTGGATCATTCTTTTGTAAACCAATAGTTATAAAAATATCCCACAGAACACAGTTCTCCTCTCATTTCCACTACTGTAAATTAAGAGTAACTGTTCAGCAGTGACTGGACTTGGAAAAGTGTGAAAGGAGACTCTGGGCCTTTAATCTGTTTCTTTTCTCCTTCTGCTCTGTTGTATTTTATTTCAAACAGAGCAGACTTGCTGTTAAGCAGTGGAAAATTTTTAAACTTCAGCAACTGTTTTGTTGGTTGTCCACTTACCGGAATGCCAGTGAAGGTAACTGGAGGTGACTGCCAAGAGATGCTAAAGCTACTGCCATTGGGAGTGAACTTTGTTGACCCTGGAATGTTCACTGGAGGCGTGGCCTGTTTAAAAAGAAAACGTTATTCCAGTATAGAGAGGCCTTTCAAAGACTCTGTCACTCCTTAAAACTGTAAAGCAACCGGGCTTTCAGAGAGTGAAAATAATTCCCCAATGGCACTGGAGACAGGCATTCCGCTTGTGTTCTCTGTGGGGGACAAACATGAATAGGGCAGCAAGAAAAAAACATGCACAACTAATAGTTAACTGGACATAAAAAGTTGGAAGGATCTTGCAAGAAGCAGCTTCCACAACAAACATTTTGAAAACTGATGCCCACCAAACCCCTAAAAGTATATTTCCATATATACCAAATAAGTTCTAAAAAATAGTATCTGGCCAGCTAATAGCAAAAATCTTTATTAGGAATGATCTAAAGCCCCATTATGGTAAAAAAAAAAAAGTACCAGACTTATCTGAATACAAGACAACTCCCAATAATTAGAAACTGTATATGAAAAATTCAAAAAAAAATATATATTTTTTCACGTATAGAATCTAATTATTGGAGGGTTGCCTTGAATTTGTTCCCTTCCCACTGCTACAGCAAGGAAAATAAGTTTTTTGCGGGGGCAGATGACCAACTTGCCTCCTCCAATTTCTTCCCCGTGCAGCTCCTTCCCCCACCCCTCTCCACCCTTATTATCAGACCCTGCTCTCCCCCAGCACGTGGAAGTGAGGGGCAAATTTGAAAACACTGACTGTACTATGAGTATCCATAGTCATAGTTCATCCACAATTAATACACTTTGCCTTTTTTTAAACTGCTGCAAGCTTTAGCACAGGTACTCCATAAACACACTTTTAAGCAGCACTTCAGCATCTACTTAGAGTACAAACTTTTTTTTTTAAGGAACATTTTTCATGTTCCAAGCCAAATCAATTCCAAATCCATGAGTCATTCAAGAACCAAATTTGGCCTTACTACCAACAAACATCCTCCCCCACTACCATGGGCTTCAGATGCTTCCAAATCCTTTGACGGACATCCTACATGCAGGCCCAAGCCCAGAAGCTTGGGGTTCAGATGCCCCCAAGTTTTGCTTACCCTTAGCCATATGGCCATAGGAGCAAACTAGGGAGAAGTCTCCTATTTCAATGAAGCTGGCATATAGCCAAGATCTTCCCACTGGAAGAGAAAGTGGGAGGCATTACCTTGGCCAGGGTACTATGCCCCAACAGAAAAATGATTTTCCCCTGCAACTAGGAAAACTGCATTACCTGGCAGAAGAAATACTGTGGCTGTTAAGTATACAAACTATGCAAGATATTAGTCCAAAGCCAAAAGGCTCAGGATTTACCAAATAGTTCACTGGGCTGGGCCCCAACAGAGTCAACAGTGTTTCAAGCTGTGGTGACCCTATGGCGCAGCACTGCTCAGTCCGTGTGTACTCCAGATAACGCCCACAAAGGATCTATATGGTAATTAGCTCCTTCTACTCATGACTGGAACCAGGTGTTCTTGTCATGAGTTCTGGGATCCCCCAAAAATGTATATGCAGATCAGTCACAGAGCAACCTGGTCCAGCTCCATCTCATGCAGGGTAGAGCCACACTAATCACATGCGACTGACTGAGAGAGGGGCCAACAGAGGGATTCTGCACAAACTGTTTGAGGCCCTGTGTGGTGATGTTTGCCAGATATTTAAGGCTGGTGAAAAAACAGGAATCATTGGAAATGAGAAAGAAAAGCCTAGCTCAACTGTGGGAGTGAAGAGGAAGTTGAAATATATTCAATGTATTGGCTCACTATGACTTGAAAAAGTGTTGGTACAATGTTTTGTGCATCTTCTTCAGATGAGCTACTATTGTGCATCTTCTTCAGATGAGCTACACTAGCCTACCCTTGTGGCAGGTTCTCATTAGTATATTTTCTATACTTACCCAAGCCTGGAGGCTTAGGGTTTGGATGCCCCCAAGTTTCTCTTGCCCTCAGCCATATAGCCTCAGGAGCAACCTAGGAAGAAGTCTCCCATTTCCATAAAGTGGGCATAAAGTCAAGACATTCCCACTCAAGCAGCAAGTGGGAGGTTTGCTATGCATTACCTCCACGGGTACTACCTGTGCCAGAAAACAAGTTGGGCTTTCATGTATGTTCCTGCCAAATGACAACTTGGAAACATCTGAAACCCCACATGGGGGTGAAAGATGTTTGCTGGTAGTAGGGCCACTTATGGTTCTTGACTGACTTGTGGATTTGGAATTGATCTGCAGAGGAAGTACTGTCACCACTAAGGTGGTTTTCCTAGTTGCTGGGGATAGCTGCTTTTCTGGCATGAGGTAGTACCTGTGGAGGTAATGTATAATTAGCCTCCCACTTTCATTTCCAGTGGGAAGATCTTGACTTCATGTCCACTTTATGGAAATGGGATACTCCTCCCTAGCTTGCTCCTATGGCTGATAAGGCTGAGAGCAAGCAAAACTTGGGGGTATCCGATCCCCACGTCTCTGGGCCTGGGTCTGCATGTAGGATGCTTGCCAAATGCTTTGGAAACATCTGAAGCCCCAGGTGGGGGTAGTGAATGTTTGCAGTAGTACGCCACATTTGGTTATTGAATGACTCATAGATTTGGAATTGATCTGACTGAGTTGGCTTGGAACATGAAAAATTTTCCTTTATATATATATATATATATATATATATATATA